TAGACTATCACCTTCCTTCTCCACTCCTCAGGCCACTCATAATCATCCAATCTGTTTGGGGTCTGCATTCTTTGAAGTCTTACTGATAACTGAGAATCTTGAATCAATAACATGGGTCTAGAAAATCTTGTATTATCTGGATTTTACCTGTTTAAACTCGCGCCAATTCTACTTGCGCACCCTTTATATGCTCTTGCCTACCCTATACTATTCTGGAGGGCTGCTATTTAATGATATAAGTATCTCCTCCAATCTCCATCTTTATCCGCTAAATGTATTTTATTAGTCCAGGTGCACCTAGGAATTATGAGTGAGTGTCATTTATAATTGGGAAGGGGCTGAAGAATGGGGTACATATTATTGGAACTGTGAAATGGTAGTTAATTGCTGGTTCTCAATTAGAAATGAGATGCTACTTTGAAGAATATGTGCATATTTAGGAGTTTGAGAAGAAGAATCCTCATCCTGAAGGGCAGCAGAAATTGCAGAGAGAGGAATTAGATGCCAGACTTGAGTTGTTGAATCAGTTAGAAAAGTCCAACCCCCTTGCTCCCCCCGTCTATGACTGCATCACCTTCTTTGATGGAGACATTTGGAGGTATGTGGAGTTCCTCCTGTTTTTGTTCTTTGCAGTGAAGTTCACTTCTTTAGGCAATACCGAAATGTGTGAATTTTTATGTGTTTCATCTGTAATCCTTTCAGGGCTGTACCTTAGCAAATCAGAATGACCACAGTTTGCTGTTAAACAAAACAGCATACGGTTGTGAAAATATTCCATTGGTATTTGAAAGGCTTAAATTAGCTCGAACATTTTTTGTCTTCAGTTTTCATCAACTTGCTTACTCAATGAGTTTCTTTTTTTTTCTTCAACAACATTTTTGTGACAGAAGTTATCAAAGGCAATTTCCTGCGTTTATTCTGTTCTGAAGTTATTCATGAATCAATCATCCCTTCAGGAGTCAAGAAAAGAAAGAATCTCATTTTCATGTTAACGAAAAGTATTTGAGAATCATACTGTGTGGACTTTCTCCTTCGACAGAGCCTGTATCGACACAACAGAAACTGGAGACCTGGACAAGTGCAAGGTGCTGGGTCAATATCGGGAGACGTTGGAGTATGGAACCTTGACCTCGCTTGATCAAGTGAACTACAGTGTCAACATTTATGAAGAAGGAAATGTCCTGGAAATAATATCTGCTTGTAGTGCGTGAGCTTCATTTATTTATTTTCCTAAACCTTGTAATACCAATGGCAATGGATTCAGTGCATGCAGAGAAAGTGCATTGCCCCAATGCAGCAGAGGGTTTTTTTTACCTAGATTGCAATACAGTGGTTCACTGAGAGGCAGCAGTGCACTTGAATTTACTATTCTTGCTTACAGTGAATGGTGCAGTTTCTTTAATTTTTCACCGTAAGGGATTCTCATTCTGGGACTTGGATGTCACAGGTGACACTCATGTTAGACTTGCAAGCAATGGTTACTTGCAGAGTTTTATGTGCCTTAGAACTTTTCATGTTGATACATTTTCTCTTGAATAGATCAAGTAGTTCATATAATGCTATTTTATGAAATTTTTTCTAATATCCATTTTAATTTTTGCATCTAGGAATCTGGACCTTTGGTTTTTGTATATTATTCAACATATTTATTGGAATAGAAATCTTGTTTTCAATAAGTGCTTACATGAAGGAAGTAGATGAAACTCAAACTTCAAAGAGAGCCTTTGAAGTGGTGTAGCCAATATTTTGAAGAAAATGTTCCACTCAAGAAAATGCTTAGAATTAATGAAGATATAGTTTAAATTATGCAAGAGTGCAATATGAAATTTATTTTCTTTTGTCCAGTCATGATGGAATGTAATCCATGCTTTCTCTTAGTTTGAGTATGTTTTAGGTGTGCTTGAAAATGAGATGGTAATTGTCAGATGCACGGCGGTTACTGTAGAGAGCCCTCAGTCTACAAGTGTTGCTCTGAATTCATACCTTCAGAAGAAAAAATATGATTATAGTAAATGCCAGAAGAGGACACATTATTTCCTAGCTAAAATGCTTCCTGGACTGACTTACTTGGAAAAGAAAAACCCACTTGTTAGTTTATGTCGTTCTCTGTGACATTGGGTCAAGAACTAATCTGATGTTCATTTTAAACTAGAGATGCAACGATATTTTATCGGTTATCGGTATCGGCCGATATTAGGTGAATCCGATATATCGGCCTAAAACGATATATGACCTGCCGATAACCGATATTGAAATTACACCTGAAGTATGCCAAACGCTAAGTATGTAAAGCGAATGATGAATATTCTCAAATTTTTCCCATTTGACAACATTTCACTTGACTCGAACACACGTTCATGGGACGTTCCTCGTGCATGAGTGTCAAAGTCAAGTGAAAAAATGTCCAACTCAAGTGAAAACACTGNCACAGTGCTCTCAGAATGGCCCAGACGTCGAGAAATCTCACGGATTGAGATGGAGGGGTCGTTGTCAATGAGTTGCTGCACATTTGAAATGAAATCGCCACTCCTCACCCTCTGTTCAGCGCGATCTTGTGTCTTTCTGGCAGCCACGGCCTCCACATCAAAGTCTGAATCCACCAACTGCTTCCTAATTCTCTGGATTGTCCTCAATGGCAACTTCAACTTGTCTATGATGTTGTTGTTGGTCATCCCGGCACAGATGGAGTAGACTATCACCTTCCTTCTCCACTCCTCAGGCCACTCATAATCATCCAATCTGTTTGGGGTCTGCATTCTTTGAAGTCTTACTGATAACTGAGAATCTTGAATCAATAACATGGGTCTAGAAAATCTTGTATTATCTGGATTTTACCTGTTTAAACTCGCGCCAATTCTACTTGCGCACCCTTTATATGCTCTTGCCTACCCTATACTATTCTGGAGGGCTGCTATTTAATGATATAAGTATCTCCTCCAATCTCCATCTTTATCCGCTAAATGTATTTTATTAGTCCAGGTGCACCTAGGAATTATGAGTGAGTGTCATTTATAATTGGGAAGGGGCTGAAGAATGGGGTACATATTATTGGAACTGTGAAATGGTAGTTAATTGCTGGTTCTCAATTAGAAATGAGATGCTACTTTGAAGAATATGTGCATATTTAGGAGTTTGAGAAGAAGAATCCTCATCCTGAAGGGCAGCAGAAATTGCAGAGAGAGGAATTAGATGCCAGACTTGAGTTGTTGAATCAGTTAGAAAAGTCCAACCCCCTTGCTCCCCCCGTCTATGACTGCATCACCTTCTTTGATGGAGACATTTGGAGGTATGTGGAGCTCCTCCTGTTTTTGTTCTTTGCAGTGAAGTTCACTTCTTTTTGGGCAATACCGAAATGTGTGGATTTTTATTGTTTCATCTGTAATCCTTTCAGGGCTATACCTTAGCAAATCAGAATGACCACAGTTTGCTGTTAAACAAAACAGCATACGGTTGTGAAAATATTCCATTGGTACTTGAAAGGCTTAAATTAGCTCGAACATTTTTTGTCTTTAGTTTTCATCAACTTGCTTACTCAATGAGTTTCTTCTTTTTTTTTCAACAACATTTTTGTGACAAGTTATCAAAGGCAATTTCCTGCGTTTATTCTGTTCTGAAGTTATTCATGAATCAATCATCCCTTCAGGAGTCAAGAAAAGAAAGAATCTCATTTTCATGTTAACGAAAAGTATTTGAGAATCATACTGTGTGGACTTTCTCCTTCGACAGAGCCTGTATCGACACAACAGAAACTGGAGACCTGGACAAGTGCAAGGTGCTGGGTCA